CGAAGCCACCAAAAATACGAAGCTCCCGCACTTTGAATCGCCTAATTCAGATGAAAGATGAGAGAGTTATGAGGGTTTTAAGAGTTTGGGAATATGTTGCTGATTTTCTGCATTTATTGCAGAAAATCTGCAACAATTTGCAAAACTTAAACTTCGACGGGGTGCTCCGATCTCATTCGGTACCCCGTGCACGCAAACGAGATATGCAACCATACCAAATTCGATATTTCAGACTCAATGGCACAGTCAAAATTCCCATACGAGGTTATCTTGACAAAAAGTGGGTTCTACACCCAAATGCCAATTTAAGTCAAAAACCACAAAAGAGCTCCGAAAAATATCGAAAAACCTCGAGACACAAAAGAAAGGTCAATCTAGACCAAACTTGACATTTCGGAGCTAATTGCGCTGACGGAATTCTCATCCGAGCGCGTTTACTCAGAATGTTGACCAAAGTCAAACTTAGGCTTAAACTTAAAGTTAAAACGCTTAATCGCACCGACTTACACTGAAAACCTCCGGAGTCATGCTGACCATGCTACTAGCCTAAAATAACCCTTCCGGAGCTAATGGAATCATTAGAAATGGATTCCGATGTCATCTTTTTGAAGTTTTGATCGAAAATGATCGTTCAAGGTTCATATGCTCCAAAACACAAAAACTCGCACCAAAACCAAACGAACGACCAGGTGACCGAACTGTCAGTCCCAACAAGTCATAAATGACTTGGGATTGCTACAGGAACGCTCTAAACGACACACAGAAGGCAAGACACATAAATGATCAGAGGGTCATTACAAAACGTCATTCATAAACTTAAGGTAATGATTAATGATTTTGGTTGCCACAATAAAATGGACGTTAATAACCTATTGGATGGGTGAAAATGATACATGTTTAGAGGTCCGGAGCTTAGAACAAATTGTGGATATCATTGGAAAAACAATGTTGATGATAAAGTTGAAGATGATACAATACATTTGAAATCAGTTACGTGTAAGAAAACACTTGCATCTAGAATTCTTCACAAATTTATGGTGAAATTTAAAAAGACAATGCAA